AGAGAAGGAAAAATGGAACCAAACAACAACCACAGAAAAACTAGAAACAATGTTTACACTCACTAAAACAAGATCAAACAATGAACAAAAAACCAAACTGACAACAACAAAAACCCCCAATACAAAACAAAAGTAAATAAGCAAAAAAAAAAAAAAAAAAAAAGAAGAAAAAAAATGTCCACTTCAAGGTGTATCTCTGCTGTCACTGGTAGACAATCTGGGGAGACAGAGCCCACAGACTGTTAGTTATCCCAGCAAGCCAGCAGTCCTTTATGGTGGGGTAGTGGACAATCTCAGCAAGCCTGCACCTTTATTTCCCCTGAAATTCAGGTGGGTTTCTGGCAGTGAGGCTGGAACCAGACCTGTTCAGCCTGCAGCAGTCAGCGCAACTTCCTCAGGCTTGAACTCAGCTGGAAGCCACTAGGTGGAGCCAGCAGTTGTCCTGAGTTACAAGCTCAGTTAGCTCCTGTCCAAGATGGCTCCCAGCCAATCACAGTCTCCCATAAGGAGGCCACATGTGATCCACTCACCAGTGAGCGCAGTGCATGGCATCCACTCCTCTGTTGCATTACTGCATCTCTCTGTGGAGCCCCTGGGCTTGCCAGCAGTTACTGTGTATCCACAGGTTTGAGCCTTCAGGTCCTTCCTGGGTCCAGGGAATCTGCTTCCCTTCTTCTTCTCTTCCTCATGTTGTAATATTCCAATGTCTGGACAGCACATCTCAGAGACACTTTTCCCCCACTGCTTACTACTCCACCGTCTTCTCAGAAGTTCCTCTGTTTCAAAGAGAATCATGTTATCCTCCTCTTTTCCAGCCATCTGTGAATTCTCATTGCTTTTATGAATAGATTAAAAAAAAAACCTTATAATGGGTTCTCTGGAGCCTTAAATGGTCAAAAGACCATTTACAAGCATTGTATCTCTCAGGAGTGTCATCTCAATGTATTTTTTCTTACCTTTACTGCATTAGTCCCTGTTGCCTTCCCTTAGTTCCCAGTAAGGCATGTTTCCTTGACTCTTTACTTGATTTTTCTGAATCTTGTCAACTAATTAACTTCTGATTGTCCATCAGCTCTCAATTTGAATATTACTTTCTCATGAAATCTTTTCCAGACTCTAAGGCCTAGAAGCCTTTGTCACACTTTTATTGCATAGTGTCATATTTGTTTTATGTCCTATGGACTATGTATTTGTTTTTGTGATTATTTGATGTTTAGTTCCCTGCAGTACGCTGGGCACAACAGGAGGAAGGAAGCAGTCTATCACTGGGCCCTTTGTACCTGAGAAAATGTCTGTTCAGATTTTAGGGACTGATATGTACTTTCCGAACCAACACATGTGAGGTCATGTTCCTTTCTAGGACATATACATCACATAATTTAAAAATTCCTAGCATTTGTTCAGAGTCTAGAACAATGATTGAAAATCCCAAGTATGACAGATATTTGTTACACAAGTGTGATATCAGTGAGAATGAGGGTATGGACACTGTCAGGCTTCGTTGGGGAGACAGAAGGAAACAGATTCTGGAGCTGTGAAAAAGTAGCAAAGAGCTTTCCCCACACTCCATAGGGTGGGTGGTGGAGGCAGTCAGGAGGAACCCTGGCCATGTGATGTGGAGTAGATTGGCTGCAGCTGGACTAGACAGAAAATGCTATATTTTCAAAGAATGTTGAGCTGTGCAACAGAAGATTAAGAATCACAATTTTTTTTCAGGACAAATTTATTCTGCAATTTTGTACACGCAGCAGCTTGCTACACCTTAACATTTTGGTTTGTACATTCAAGATACTACTATATTCTTGATATATGATTGAGGTGAAAGTAAGTATTGTATGTGTGCCTGTGTTATGGTGATACCTTAATGATTTTAGTACCTGTTATAAAAATAGTTGATGCAGAGATTAATTAATTTGTTTGAGGTAGTATTCTTTGGATCATTGAAAATTTGCTAATATTCTCTCTCTCTCTCTCTTTCTGTCTCCTTGTATTAAACAATGAACTTCATACTGAGCTACATCCCTACCTCTTTGTAATTTTTTTTTGACACTATGTTTTGCTAAATTGTCCCAGTTGGGCTTGAGCTTGCAGTTTTCTTTCTTTTTTTTTGGTTTTTCTCCGGTACCGGGAACCGAACTCACGACCTTGCGCTTGCCAGGCAGGCACTTTGCCGCTGAGCTAAATCCCCAGCCCCGAGCTTGCAGTTTTCCACCTGCCTCATCTTGCCAGAATATTGGGACTACAGACATGTATCACTATGCAAAGCTGGGTAGACAAATACATTAATTTTTTTTTTATTGTAAGATTAAACTATTTCTTATAGCCTTATTTTCTGCATTTGTCTCTGCTCAAATGGGTATGATAAAGCTGATTTAATTATTTCTGTTTTGATTAGATAAGATTCTTAGTTAAGCAATTCCTCTTTGATTTTTAGAAGCTAAGTTTCCTCATATATTAATACTTTGCTTCAAAAATAAAATTTCCAAAGATCTAAATTCTATTGTAAACACTGTCTCAAGCCTATTAGATTTCTAAAAATACAATTTTATATTATGTGAGGCTTAATTTTGAGTTATTTTACATTGAAGCTGGATCTTTAATGTTATGTTTGCTCTCAGAAAAATTTATTATTCAAAGTAAAGTTGTTTAGTACTAAAGAGTCTCTGGAACTTAACCTAGATATATTATGTTTCTTCTTAAGTTTAATGAAACAGTAATGCAGCTATTCCCTTTTAGTTTGAAACCATGCAGGTTTTAGTATCTTTATGAAATGCCTTAGGATGAGTGGGAATCAATCTTAAGGAAAAAAACCAAACTACCATCTCAGTTTTCTGTTGATTTACTATATTCATTGTTTTTATTTCCCTTTCTTCTTTTCTGGGCTTCTTCTGAAATAATGTACTTTTATTATTCCTTTTCCCTTACATTGACATGGTAATTATTCTCTTAGTTGGTAACTACAAGATCAGTGCACCATTTTGATTAATTAAGCTGTGATATAAATGGGTACAAATACAACTTGCTGAAAACGGAAATATAACACTTTGACTTCATTTATAGTCTCCTGATGTTTGATTTTTGTTGTGATGTATATTCATTTTCTATATGATACATTTGCAAAGTATATTTGTTCAGTCAGAATCTTTTTATATTTATACAATATTTTCCCTTTCCTTTGGTCTTCATTCATTTCTTCATATCTATTCTTATATCTGAGATTATTTTCTTTCAATTAGAAGTATCTACTTTAATATTTTCTATACTAAAAATTTTCAAGGATATTTTCTTTCAAATTTATTTGGTATTATACACATGTGTGCTTATAAACAAACACATACATGATGTTCAGAACTTAAAATGAATATTGAGTATGTATTTAATTAAAATGTGTGACAGCAGTATAATTAAAATACAAGTGTATGTACCAGTTTCCTAAGGTGAATGTAATTATTATGTGTTGCATACATACACTAATAAAACAAAGAAGAGAAAAAAGAAACAAAATACAGATTTAAATACAACAGAAAGCTAAAAAGATAAAAAATGAGTTACTTGCTTTGTTTTTATCTGATAATATTATGTCTTTCATTTGTCTTATGTTTGATTTTCAATCATGATGGTTTGTCTAGGTATAGTTTTCTGCTTATTTGTTTAGCTAATGGTTTGTAGCAATTCTTAGATTATGACACAATGCTTATTAGATTTCTTACATTCCTTTCTGTATTTTTGTACTTGCTTTGGACTCTGTTGTCTGAATATTTTCTTCTCTCTTATATTCCCTATCACTAATGTCCTCTTCAGCTTTGTCTAATGTGTGCTAATCTAATTGTTAGTACTATAGCTTTGAGATAGAGAATTTTGTGTGGTTTTTTAGAGCTAGATTTAGTTCTGTCATAACTATTATAACTGTTATAACTGTTGGTCAAAGTTACTTTAAATTCCATGTCTGATAACTTCAGTATCCACATCTCCAGTCATTCGGTTCATCTGTCTTTCTCCTGAAATTCCTACTAGCATTAGTTTGCATGTTAGACATCTACCATGAACTGTTTTATAACTTGAGGCTCAGAATGCATGGTACTATCCTTTGATGAAAGAATTTCTTTTGCGTTTGGCTAATGTTCAGTGTAGAGATTACTTACCTTGAGCCCGTTGGGTGCTTATATAGCTGTATACAGTTGGCTCTACTTTGTGGTGAAGGCTTAACCTTTTCTCTTTATCCTTATTTTTATCTTGTAGTCCTTCAGAACTCTTAACTGAAAGTAGGATTTTTACCAGCATCTCTCCTCCTTAGCAGTATATGAATGCAAATATTTGTTCCATTTGACATTTGATACATTGTATAATGTTAAAATAAGGTCAAACATATCTATCTCCTCAAATATTAATTGTAAACTTTAAAAATCCTTTCTTCCGGCTTTTTATAAGTACACACATTATTGTTACTTGTAGTTACCTTACTGTACAGTAGTACAACAGAACTTCTTGATACCAGTGATGTGGCATTCATCGATCATTTTAAATCTATCTTGCTTTGACTATTTGTATTCCTCTTTTTCTGTACTCATTCCATTATCTCTTTCTTTCTGTAGCTTTCAGTTTATGAGTTTGTTCAAAGCATTTTGTAGGCTTGTTAGTACTCTTAATTATATGAATATGTTCATATCTCTATCTGTGTGTATGATGGCGAGTCCAAAAATAAATACATAATAAATAAATTTATTCTACATTTTTGCTCTCTTTGGCATGGGTATGTATCTATTATTTTGCTTTAAATGTATCTTTTAGAAGCTGTTCTTCTGATTACTCAGCATACTTTCACAAATTTATATCTAATTATGTTTGTATGGATATTTATATGTTTATCGTCTTCTGCCATTTCTGTCACCCTCACTCATTTACATTTCCTATGTTTCAGTTTATTCATGAGCTTTAAAAATAATTTTGAAGTCAATACTGTTGTTTGGAGCAAAAGATGTACTTGAAAGAATGAACTGACTCATCTCGAGAACTCCTGTTTTACTATTACACTACAGTTCTTCAAGTGCCAGTGCTGGACACTTTGCCATTTGTAAGTCTTCTTTGTTGCTGAAAGACATCTGATGGCTGAGGCACAGTAGGGTGTCCCAAAGCCTTGTTGTAATACTGACATGAGGCCCCAGATTTGATCATAGGCACAATAAAGTTAGAAAATTGAAAGGATAGGTGTTTGTGGTTGAGAATGTAGTATGTGAGTGATCATAAATAGCAATAAGCCCATTTCATAATCAGGTGAATAATAGCTGAAGCAGAGTAACAGACTAATGAATTTTCCTGGAACAAATATCAGCTGGAAGGCCCACCAGGGGCACTGAGCACACTGCGGGATGATGCTGGCCTTGGGAATTACTGGGGCCAATGTGAGCTGTATTCTAATGGCTTTGAACGGTGACGGATACAAGTCATCAAGCTGGGGTAAAGGACAACATAGCCAAAGCACGTGGCTCCTAGAGGGGCAGGGACACTATTGGAAGAAGTAAGAGCCTTCAGGAAGTGACAGAAAGCAAAGATATTACTCTTACTTCCAGTCCATAAGCAAAGAACAGGGAATTAAGCAGCTCTTTATATGAAGGTTGCAAGTGAGGTGTCTTCCACAAGCATCACTGCAGTCTCCCTAAATCTCAGGAGATATTAGGAATATTCAGAAAGGAGATAAAGAATGAAGTGAAGCTTGTTAACGAGAGAGCTGAGTTTCTAAATAGAAGTATTTTTTTAAAAAAGAATTAAATCTTAGCATAAGGGGAAAAACAGAAAACCATACAAAGTTCTTTGGAAGGATTAGTGAACCTTGGAAATTATATCTGAGAAACAAGACAACAAAATTATGAAATAAAGTAGGTACCAAATTAATTAGTCTTGGCAGTTTTATGGTTGTGTGAGTTTGTCTCAGCAGCAGCCATGTCCTAGATGTATTGCATTTTAAGAGAATCTTCATTTCTCCTTTGTGAGAGTGCTAGGTCATGGAGCCACCTTTTATTTGATTTGACATACATGCACTCATGGAAAGAAAAGCTTTAGGTCAAGGCCTGCCAGATTTAGATTTCTGAAAGGAAATTTCTGGATTGTGCACGCTGAGGCCCGGGATAGACACCAGGGGGGCTTGTGGTTTGATTTCTGTGCCATTAGGAATTGTGTGTTCATTGGTGTTTTATAAACCATTGTATATCTATTTTGCCTCTTCCTCATCTTTCATTTTTAATCAATCAAACTATGTTATTTGATATGTTTTCCATTTCAAGGTCTTAGAGCTACACAGTATCACTACTTACCACTCAGTATGTACCAGGCACTGCCTACTTGCTTTACATGAAATAATTCATTTAATCTTTATAAGAATCTATGTAAAGAGTCAGTAAATTCGGAATTTAAAGGCTGATAAACACTCTCTTAGTCAACAGTTGTTGACGAGCTGAGTGAGGATTTGTGCTCAGGTAGTTCCAGAGCCTGTTGTTTTCACCACTGTCCCAGTGCTTCCTTTCCTGTGTGTAGGACTCACCTGAGGTGTTTACTACATACAGCGGAGGTTCTGATTCAATAGGTCTGAGTCAGAGTCCAATTATCTCTGATTTTATTCTCCTGAAGATTGTAAACACTGTGCTGGATGCTACCGCAACCTCTCTATCCCTGTATCTGCTGTCAGAGTGCCTACGGTCCTATCCTGTTTGCTCTCCTCAGCCTTTCCAGAGCTCCTGGCTCCTGACCATGAAAAAAAAGATGGCTATGAGTTTTAACTTCCCTTCTGGCTTCTTGGAAGTTGAGACTAGAGTTCAGCCTGGAATAGAGTTGCATTGGATACAAAAGGAAAAACAACCTGGTTTCCAATAAATTTCCTGTTCCTTTCAATCTTCAATACTTTCTGTCCTTGGGTTTCTGTTGGCTCCTGTATTCCTTGCTTTCTTTTATTCCAGCTGGCTTCTCTGTCCTTCCCGCCCCCTGCTCTGTGTTCTTGTTTTTTTCATTAGCGCTGAGCTCTTCCAAGTCCTCTGGCTTCCTGTATGCTTGTTCATTCCGTGCTGTAACTTCCCCCCCGGCCCTTTCTTCTTGCCTTTTACACATTTAGCTTTCAGCTTTCTTTCTTTACATTGTTCCTCATCAACTGCAAGGCGAGACTGCAGGGACCCATGACATTATAGTCAGTCACACGCAACACAAGGTCATTAAGGAGATAAAGCAGAATCTTCCATTTGGAAGCTATTATTTTAATAGAAATTTGGATTTGAAAGTGATTGTCAGGCCTACTTGCAGTGTTGTAAACAAAAGCAACATTTAGAAGCCTAGTTCCCACTGCTCTTTTTACTGTTATTAATCTAGGCAGGAGACGTATGTTACTGCCCAGGTAAGCCAAATGTAACCTCTGGAAATAACTTGTTTGGCTGTTATTACACATAGAATATAGGTACACAAAGTGCTGTTAAGTCAGACTTGTTCTTTCTATTCATATATTTTGCTATCTTAGACATTAAAATTACTTTGTGTGCTTAAAAATATTTGTTTTGTGATACTTCCTGGAGAACTGCAGGGGAATATTTTAATGTGACTATCCGGGACATTTCTGAACACTGGCACAATTTTTCAATGTTGTAAAGCTTAATTGTCATCACTCAGCCAGCAGGAAGCTGTCTTCAAGTGACCAGAAGGTTGCTGTCTTCCAATTAGGACACCTTTCTTTTTTCTGAATGAGCAGAATTCAGTCCTAAATGACTACTCAGGTGTTTTTAATTTTGTTTCTTGGATCTCACCATTTTTATGTCAATTTTTATGATATTTTCTCACAGAAACAAATATCGATGGGTGAATATTATTCCAAAAATATTAAAAAAACAGATTTTGTGTCAGAAAAATTCTCTACATAGTAATCTCTATGAATGTCAAGTAAAAGGTTTCTGAGACAGTGTTTAAAAATACAGGACTGGGGTGTGGCTCAGTGGTAGAGCCCTTTCTTGCCATGTCTAACATCTTCCCAGTACCACAAACAGACAAACAAACAAGCAAAAATATACCAAATAATTGCAAGCTATGATGAAGGGGCCAGAGCCATAAAGAGCAGCTGACACTTCCTTCCTGATCCGGGAAGAAGAAAGTCTGGGTCTGTCACTCTAATACTTGCGGTGCAGTGAAGACCATTTTAGGGAGGAGACAGCGTGTCATGAAAATTGAAGTCTCAGTGCATTTCCCAGGCTATATTGTCATTCTTCATTGCTGCGTTCTTTTAAAAGCTAATTTTTCCATTCTGTGTTTTATTTGTGTTATTTTTTTTCTGAAAATCTTTCTTGCAATTAAAAGCACAAATCTGTCAACTTGTTTCAATTCAGTGCATGTGGAATTAGAGAATAGCAGACTTTGTGCTAGAGTAGGATTTGAGGGTCAGGTGGAGTGTGGATAGTTAGCATTCCTGGTCAGAACAAGAAGACGATGATGATGATGTGTGGAGTGAATAGAGTGATGTCACAGAGAGTTAGTGCGCATTTGTGTGTAGACACGTCAAGCCACATCTCTGTCTACATTAATCTTCGTATCTAATCTACCATATCTTACAAGAAAAAAATTTAAAGGTAGATGATGATGAAAGTGGCTTTATGAGCCAGGCATGGCATAATACACATGTGATCACACCACTCTGGGAGGATGAGGTAGGAGAATCTCAAATTCAAATGTAGCCTGGGCACCTTGGCAACTTAGTAGCCCCATCTCAATATACAATATAGAAAGGGCTGGGCATGTAGCTCACTGAGAAGGCCCTGGGTTCAATACCAGTATCTCAAAAAATTTGCTCATTTTTTTTCCAATTTGATTTGAGAATGGAGGCTCATTCACTTTTAATGAATATAGGAACTGTGTTTTCTCTTGTAAAGTCTACGTCTCTCTCTCTGCCAAACCACATTCTTTCATAGTGATTATTTTTCTGCATTTGTGCAGAATTTTCTACATTTATGCAGAGTCTCTTACCAAATAGTGTTAAATAGATTGAAATAGCCCTTTGTTAAATTTATAATGTATGAGTATATTGAGGTCTTAAGGGGTGCAGTTCTGTTTTCTTTTTCTGTTATTCAGAACATCTAAATATTTAGATGCTCATTAAATGTTTATATGTTGCATATTATAACTACAGTAAATATCCTTGGCTGAGACTGGTAAGGGAGACTGTCAATTTGATTAGCTTGGGAACTACGTAGGGGATGAGCAAAGAATGCTTATGCCTGTGTCTGGGTAAATCGTGAAGTACATTGGGTACTGTCTAGTCGCTGGTCCTTTTTACTCTGGTCTGGCTGCCCTGCTTCACTTTTCTGCCACTATGAACTAAGCTGCTTTGTGGTGCATATGTCTCTGCCATAATGTTGCTACCTTGTAGTCATTTGGCCTTGCACTGGATCCTGTGAAACCATAAACCAAGTAAATCTTTCTTCTTTCAAGTCATGGTTGTCAGATATTCGGTCTCCCAGTGGCAAAGCTTACTAATAAAGAAAATGAAGACCAAGAGTGGGCCTGTTGCTATGACTATACCTTACCATCTGGTTCAGAAACCTTTGGAACTGGTTTGCCGTACAAGCATGGAAATGTTTGGAGAAGAGCTAGAGAAGTTCTAGAATGCTGTATGAAGAGCCTGTTGGCCAATTCTGAGCCCAGCTAAGAAGCTAGAGTGCTGATAGAAATGTGAACATTAAAGGCCAGACTCAGGAGATTTAAAACTGTGGAATGACTCAGAAGCCATGCATGTTATAGACTGGCAAAAACAATTACCTATATTTTTCCTATGTCCTGAGACTTTCCAGGAAACTAAATATAGGGGTACTGGACTGGTTGATCTGGCAGAGGAAATTTCAAGGTGCCCCAATATTCAGACTGTAGCATGGATACTGGTGTCTGCTTTTAGCAGATTTATAGTGGTTATCAGTGCTCAAAAAGCAGAGCAGGAAAATTTAGGCCCAAAAGGAACCACATGTAAAGTTGGGCCAAAAAAGATGTGGCTGCTGAAGAATTTAGCATCATCAAAAAGACACTAAATACTTTGTACAGGAACAAGAAGAAAGATGC